AGATCCCGGTCATCAGCAGATTTTTTTCTGTGACATTTTTATCTATTTCCAAAACGAAGGCGTTCGCTCTCTCGCTCTCCTTCAAATAACAGTAAATGTTTGTCGAAATTTGACTTCTTCTAAAGAGCTTACGCACTGCCTTTCTGTTTTATTTGCTCCCCACAGCCAGCCACGGCCGAGCGGACTGGACTTTGCACTTGCATCAGTTATATGTGAAAAACACGAGCTCGTCCCCATCACACTGGAATAAAAGCTGTAGTTCGGTTGAAACATAGGCCGGGAACGTTATCCATCTGTTCGAGGGATATATCCCCTTTCTTGCAAAGGAAACTGGGGATTGTAGTAACTTCCTTCCCGCGCTTCGAGGGCCGACTCTCCGTGTGTACTATTATATTTCAGTTTCCGTTCTCATATATGAATCTTACTGGATGAAATGGTTAGGTTTGACTTATTTGTCGTTGTCAGCCAAATATAACTTAAGCTCCAGTCAGGAAGAACTGGAATTTTGGCCTCAGTCCACTTAGTCACTGAACCAGACGTTCCGCCATTTGAATCACGGATCGCATTCTGGTATATGAAATATCGCAGAATTACGCTGCACAATAGTCAATATTATAACGGCACCAAAATAATCCTTTCTAGTCAAAAACACATTGCGGAATTTCGACGGACATCTCGTGATATACGCCATCTATCGTATTCAAACAGTTGGGAGTGGGTTCATTGATCTATTCCTATTACAGGATGGGTTCTGGCCTCAAGTCCACGCAGACGGTCGTATAGCAAAAGACAATCAAGAATTGAGAGCTATTTCCGACCAAAGCAAGACTTAAGGCGCCACTTCTGATCATCTTGTCCTTGCCAGTCAATTATAGCCCAAAACGCTGTTCGGGCGGATACAGACGTGCTGCAATGCCCCCAGAGGTCAAAGTACGCGAGGTTATTTTCGTCAACAATCCACGTGGGTTGCCTATCCAAAGGTGTCCACTTTAGAATGAATAATGGTTGGGTTGAGTAGTTTGAAGTCAGGCATGGGAAGTCGGATGCGACGTGTGGCTACTGCATCGGTTGGAAGGGCTCTGGAGCATTCTGAGTCAAGTATTAAGTGTTGTTATCAGCCAATACGCTCCTAATAAGGCAGCAAGATGGCCACCCAGGACTATAGGTGCCATAATACTGACTGTGGAGGATCTTGAGTGCTGATAAAACCTATGAATATGTACCCTGTGGTTCCTGTAAAACGGCTCATTACAGCAGCATCGGTCAGACTAGCACATTCCCAGCAGCCATTCGATCGCCCCGTTCTCTGTTGACAGCCTGTCCAAAAACGGATTTTAACGTACCTCGTACCCCTTAAAATTTTGACTTTTAAAAGTTTCTTCGGTCTGGTCTATTTGATCATGGTGGGGTAAAAGGCGATGGGACATGTAAACACAATTTGTAGAATTAACAGCGTTTTTTATCCATTCTCAGATGAAAAACGGACAAATATATATACTTCTTTTTCAACAAAGAATTCCATTGTCTTCGCGGCAATTGTTAGAGGAAATTTTATTCTAGCATGCAGCTGCAGACTGCACATACCATTAAGTGCCCATTAAAATTAACACTGAACGACATAGCAGCCAGTAAGCATTCGCACCTGGGATCTCAAATGCTTATTTCTTGACCGAGGCAAAAAAACTGCAGTAAATGCCAACAATGTTGAAATAGACCGTTTGACTTTTGAAGTGACTTCTCCGCATGTTTGCCGGCAAAAAATCTGACAGGGAATCTAAAATAAGTTGGGGTGTGACAAAATGGTAAGGTCTTATTTCGTGGCCGCATCTGTTAGGGGTTAGGGTAAGGGGTTGGGGTTATGGCTTAGGGTTAGGAGTTAGTGTTAAGCCCCCGATTACCACCGGTACCGTATGACAGGCGGCTGGGGCTTGTCTACTGCAAGTGCGGCTACGAGATAAGATCCAACCGACAAAAGTCCGATGAATAATGAAAACCCGGCAACTGAGAAGGAAATATGGCCAAATGTCTCAGAAACCGCTTGGGAGACTGCCTTAGTTAAAAAGTTGCGGAAATGACCGAGGGACTCACTGGACGTATGGTGGAGCCAACTGCTGGGAAGGTTTTAGCCTCTCCTGCCTTGCCAGCGATAGCAGCCTGTTCAATATATGCTGGCTTCTGTCTCTCTCCATGTAGGTCAGAAATACAACTCTCAGTAGGGAAAAATCGCTTTCCAACAGTCATCCGACATTCACTGCTCAGATGTTGCTGTGTCTTGCACCGAAGAGGCTGTGTAGGGATTGCAAGACCTGTAGATGAGACGGGTCGGGGTGTTGTGATAACTCCTGCAGTGAGCAATTGCCGGTTGATTTGTGCCTCCATTGAAAGAGTGCCCGTGAGCACGTTAGGCAGCGGGGCCTGGCCAGATAGCCTGACCCTCTGAAAGCTGTCGGTTCGTGAAAAAGGTTGCAGCATGAACACCCTCACAAGTCGCTAATGATGAGTTTAAGTGAGGCTAGAAGTCGTGAGAGGAGACCGCAACGCGAAACGCACACAACCATAAACATCCGAACGTTGCCGGAGTGAAATTCGTACGGGAGAAGCGGGTGAAGAGCAGAAACTTCCACTCACTCGGTGGAGCACAGCCAGTGAAGACCATGGCCAGCTTGTCGACCAATGGGTCGCCTACTCTGAGTCAATCAATAGCCACCGCTTGGACTTGGCCGCATTAATCACGTCGTTGATTGGGTGCGGAACAGCCAATGAAAAACCGACTAAAAGGCAGCGCGTGGACAATCCTTTGTGCTTAAGCTGCAGGGGAAAGCGTCGATGCCCGATTGTCCCATTTGACAGTCGCCCTCTCTCCACGAGTCTGTCTTCAAGCTAAGAGTTATTACGCAAATTGTTCCGTTGATGCGCCGAATCTAGCAACTACGAGTATTCGCTTTCTTACGCAGGAATTTAGGGCCAGCTCCCAGTATTTTTTATTATTAATATTTCGGCAACCGAAGATGATGGAAGAACATTTACGGCATCTTTTTCGCAATTTAGGCCCCTGTATCGGATAGCCGACTAACTTGGAAGGGATAGTCCGCAAATTTTCGTCACACGGTGAGAGTTATACGGTCTCTCAATAATCATGATGCTAAATAAGAACATTGTTATAATCCACAGTTAACAAATAAAAATTATTCATAGGATGATACATTCCGCGAATAAACCGTAGTAAAGGGTAGCTTATTTCCAAGCAAGCCAGTTAAACGGATGTGTATTCCACTGAGTCATGAATTTGTCAGAGATTCCCCTTCTCGTTTACAGGTACCAGGTGCTCTTGCTTGCGGGCATAAATGCACGTGACTTCCGGGCCTAGCGAAACAAATGATTACGACCACCATTCTTAGTACTATGATATTTTATGTTTTGCTTGATAAATACTTTGAGCAAGTAATTTTTCGAAGTATGTACAATCTCATACATTTCCAAATGAGGCAGAGACATTTTACTAAATAAAAGAACGCACGAGAAGTGCCCTGATTGAAAGTTCGCGACAAAGCGCTTAGATAAGTTTCATAGCTCCTAAAAATATTTATAATCAGACAAAGCGAATGCTTTACTAAGTTTACAATCAGACTATGTCTGCACGGTTGTTTTAGAGAGGGCCACACGAAAGGAACTTTCTACAATGACTGTCACTAACCGCTACATGCAAATAAAAGAAAGGATATCCGAATAGCCATTTCTGGCATATTTCAAGTTGTCAGCCAGTCATAACCCAACCCAAAGCTGATACGACTGCGTACCTGAGTCTAGATTTAACTGGACATTAAGCCTAGAGTATAGCCATTTGATTTGCGATCTCACTGTTTGTAATTGCTAGTGGGCATCACACACTTTACGAGAGAGCTGCGTGCACCGACCGACCCTAATTGACAGTTCGACCATCGATTTCGATGATGTCCATCGTATGCCCCACAGCAGAAGTGGGAGCAGGGACGGTGACTTGCGCAGGGGTTTATAGTGCCAGTAAACTTGCGCTGCATCTACCTACACTCTCTCCTCCTCCCCCACCTGAGCCCGGTGTCAAGACAGAGTCAAGAAGACCGGAGACGAGGGAGGCCGCAGGTGGATGGCTCGGACGGATCCTCGCCTTGGCGCTCCACCACACCCCTGGTCCACACAACAAATAACCAGGATTTTAACCGACACAACAGAGATTGGAGGCTGGCAAGACCAAAGCCGCACCTAGGCGTGCCGCCAACGCCTGGCTCGGATCCCACACTGTGGTGGGAGTGCCATAAAGGCCACATTAAAAAGGAGCCATTGCAGCCTGACTCTCAGACCGCCTCCAGTGAAGGAGGAGGTCCCAGTTACCCCGTCAGTTGGCAACCTTCCAAACCACGGCTTTTAGCGCACCGTGATACCTTCAAGCGCGTCAGATTGTTTATAGTGAGGAGAAAGTGCGCTGAGTCGTCGACCTCACTCTCCCTTCCCACTCCCACACCCCAGCCGCTGTCCGAGCCGGTCAGCAGACTGGAGTGGGGAGTGGGCGCGGTGGCTGTCATGGTCGACTGACCATGACTGCGCGCGCCACGGCACGACCTGGCCCCCCAATAAAAAACACAACACCAGGATTTCACACAACGGGGGTTGAGCGGCTTGTCTCTCACTTGCGTGAGAGGGCCGTGGAAGGTGCTGTTTTAGCCCGTCCCGAGCCCACCAGTCCGCCACTCCACGCAACACACACACAACGCGACGAACTGCGTGAACCGAGAGCAGGCGTCAACCAGCAACCTTCCTATCCACGACGCTTGACGTGTCGGGATAGTCTCGGACTCAAGTCACCCGTTCAGCCGAGGCCGCATGGGGACCGAGTCGAGATGTGGACTTCCCACTTGCGTGGGAGGTGGCAGTTGGGTGCATGAGGTGTGTGAGTGTTGATGTCTAGTGGGGTGGTGGTGATGGGAGGTAGGAGTGAGTGAATGTGTGGTGTGGCCGGCGGTTGTCTACCGCAGGTCATCGTGGATGCGCATGTGGCCGAATAGGCCCATGCGATGCCTGAATGTGCGAGCGCAGTGTGGGCAGTGGAGTCGAGCGTGGTAGGTATAGGCTGGTGCTCCAGGCACTGGTTCGCCAGTTTCTGTGCGATGGATTCGCAAGTGACCGACCAGGCCGATGCGTGAGGTGAATGTGCGTGTACAGTGTGGGCATGCGATGTCGGCGGCGTCAGTGTCAGCTACGGAGGAGGCAGTGATGGTAGTGGTGGTGGTAGTGGTGGTGATGATGGGCGCGCACGGCAATGGAGCGAGGGTGGGACTGGGCCTGGTTGATGTGCTGGGTGTCGTGAGTGTGTCGGAGTTGCGGTCAATTCCGCTCTCGTGGATGCGCATGTGTCCGAATAGGCCCATGCGATGCCTGAAGGTGCGAGGGCAGTGTAAGCAGTGAAGGCGAGTGCGGTGGGTGTAGGTTGGTGCTTCACGCATTGGTTCGCCAGTCTCTGTGCGATGGATTCGCAAGTGACCGACCAGGCCGATTTGTGAGGTGAAGGTACGGTCGCAGTGAGGGCAGGTGTGGTCCTGATCGTCATCGCTGGAGTCGGTGGAGGTGGTGGTGGTGGTGCCGGTTGTTGCGCGAGTGACAGTCGCCTGAACGGCCGCCGCTGGAGCAGTGGAGGAGGAGTAGGAGGAGGACGAGGACGATGGAAGTGGTGGGTCAGAAGAATTGTCAGTTAGTTGGCGGCGGAGAGGAGGAGGAAGAGGCGGACGGGGGGACGATGGTTAGTGCATTTCGAGAGGCGCAGTTAATCCGAAGATGTCCAACACGTCCGATTCGAGTCCGGAATGTCCGTTGACATCGAGGACACGTTGGAAGCGGTGGTGCGGCGGCGTTGCGTACTGGGCGAAGTTGTGATTTGCGGGCTTCGCGTTTCGCTTTGGCGACAGCGATGCGGTTGGCTTCGTATATCGCAGCGCCTGTCTTCACTGTCCTCCTCCAGGTCGGTTGATCGAGTGCAAGCTCCTCCCAATCGATGGGGTTGATTTGCAGGCGTTTCAGGGAGGACTTCATGGTATCCTTGTAACGACGAATCTGGCCTCCTTGACGGCGAGAACCCGTCGAGACGTCTCCGTAGAAGAGTCGTTTGGGTAGTCGCTCATCGTCCATGCTCACCAGGTGGCCGCTCCAGCGCAGCTGAATTTGCCTCAGTATGACGTAGATGCTGAGGATTCCCGTCCGTTCCAGCACATCAGTGTCGGGGATTCGATCCTGTCAGTTCAGCCTCAGGATGCGACGAAGACAACTGAGGTGGAAGTGGTTCAGACGGCGTGCCTGCTTTGCGTACACCGTCCAAGTCTCCACTCCATACAGTAGTGTCGTCAGGATGACGGCCTTATACATCTTCAGCTTCGTGCTCAGCTGAAAACCGTGGCGATTCCAAACTGTGCTTTGGAGGCGACCGAAGGCTTGACTGGCTTTCGAGATTCTGTTGGCGACTTCGTCGTCGATCTTGGTGTTGCGGGAGAGAGTACTGCCCAGGTACGGGAAGTTCTCCACCACTTGCAGTTGGGTTCCGTTCACGCTGATTTGCGGCGGCGGCGCGTTGGGGGCTGTGACTGAGTGGGGTGGTGGTTGGTGCATCACCACCGTCTTCTGCGTGTTAATGACCAGACCGAAGTTCTCGCAGGCGGCGGAGAACAGGTCCATGCTCCGTTGCATCTCCTCTTCCGAGGTAGTATTCAGGGCGCAGTCGTCGGCAAAGAGGAGTTCGTGAACGGTGGTTGTGGATACGCGCGATTGGAAGTGCATCCGTCGTTGATTCAGGAGGTGACCGTCCGTCCTGTAGGCGATGCGGATCCCGGGGCGTTCGTCACGGTAGGCGTCCATCAGCATGGCAGAGAACATGAGACTGAAGAGGGTAGGCGCCAGCACACAGCCCTGCTTCACTCCGTTGGTCACTGCGAATGCCTCTGAGACAGCTCTGTTTTCCGTGACTCGCGCCATCATACCGTCGTGCAGCTGACGCACCATTTGAGTGAGTCGCTCCGGACAGCCGAATTTCTGCATGATCTTCCACAGTCCTTCACGATTCACCGTGTCGAAGGCTTTCGTCAGGTTCGCGAAGGTAGAGTACAGGTGGGTCCGCATCTCCTGACACTTCTCCTGAAGTTGGCGGGCGGCGAAGATCATATCCGTGGTCCCACGATGACGACGGAAGCCGCATTGGCTTTCCGACAGAAGGTCCTGTTCCAGATGGTTATTGAGGCGGTTGAGAAGGATGCGGGCGAAGATCTTCCCGGCGATGTTCGGCAGGGAGATGCCGCGGTGATTGTCGCAGACTTGACGATTCCCTTTGCGCTTGTAGAGATGCACGATGGTTGCGTCTTTGAAATCTTGCGGGACTTTACCTTGACGCCACATCTCTTGGAAGAGCGCAGTAAGGTGATCCATCAGTTGGGGACCTCCGTGCTTGTAGACCTCAGCAGGGATTGCGTCCGATCCGGGTGCTTTCCCGCTGGAGAGCTGCTGCACGGCCCTGATGGGCTCCTGGAGAGATAGCGGGAGGTCGAGGTCCACGTTGGTCTCCACTTGCGGCAAACGCTCGATGGCGGCGTCGGAGATGGCAGAGGGGCGGTTGAGGACGCCTCGGAAATGCTCTGCCCATCGCTGTAGGATTTGCGTCTTCTCAGTCAGGAGAGTGCTGCCGTCGGCGCTGAGGAGAGGAGCAGTGCCCTTCGTCGGCGGACCGTAGACAGCTTTGATCGTTCCGGTCCGCGTAGCCTTGGATCTCCTAAGCTTTGCGAGCAGTCCAGGCGTCCTGCATCTCGCGCAGTCGTTGCTGAAGTTGGCGGCGACTGCGGTAGAAGGCAGCTTTGGTGGCATCAGTGGGGTGATCTGCGTAGGCTTTGTGTAGGCGGTTCTTCTCAGCAAGCATATTTCTGATGGCGGCGTCGTTGTCGTCGAACCAGTCCTGGTGTTGGCGGGGAGTGCGACCGAGGACGGCGAGCGTCGTCGACTGGACCGTGTCTCGCAGTTGACACCAGCGGTTCTCCACGGTGGCGTTCTCGGCGGCGGCGGCGTCGGCGTCGGCAGCGATTGGAAGGTTGTCTAGCCGTTGAGCTAGCTCATTGATGAAATGGAGACGGTGAGCAGGCAAAGACAACAAAGCAACATTCAGCTTACCTGGGGGTCGCTTACCTTGTGGTCTCCTGCGAGGCTGTAGGCGAATACGCATCTTCGAGATGACGAGGCGATGGTCGGTCCACCCGTCAGCACCCGCGATCGCCTTCGTCACCAGCACGTCCCGCTGATCTCGCCTCCGGACGAGGACATAGTCCAGCAGGTGCCACTGACGCGACCGAGGATGCCTCCAGGTGGCCTTCTCTCGCTCCGGCATGCAGAAGAACGTGTTCGTCAGGATGAGGCGGTGTTCTGCGCAGGTGCGGAGAAGCAGCAGACCATTGTCGTTGGAGCCGCGGAGACCGTGGGGACCCAGCACTCCTCTCCAGGCAGTATGGTCTGTGCCGACGCGGGCGTTGAGGTCACCAAGGACAATCAACCTGTCCGCCTTCGACACAGTCGCCAAGAGGGCGTGCAGGTCCTCGTATAATTTGTCTCTGACGGCGTCGGGGTTGGCCATCGTCGGAGCGTAGGCGCTGATGATGGTGGCGAATTTGCCTCCCCAGAGAGGCAGGCCGAGGCTCATCAGGCGATCGTTGATGTCCTGCGGCAAACAGGGCAGTCGTCTCACGATGCCGTTCCGAATGCCGAAGGCGACACCCGCGTCCAGTCGCAATGCCCTGGGTCGACCGCTCCAGAAGAAGGTGTAGCCGGCACCCACCTCCTCCAGTTGGCCTTGTTCGGAGAAACGGGTCTCGCTGAGTGTGGCGATGTCCACCTTGTAGCGCGCCAGTTCTCGTGCCACTAGAGCCGTCCTCCGTTCCGGTCGGTTGCTCCTCGGATTGTCTAAAAGGGAACGAACATTCCAGGCTGCCAGAGTGAGCGGGCTCACCCTGCCAGTCTGGTGACAACGAGTGGGGCGACGGGATGGAGATGGAGAAGAAGGTGACGAAGGAGAAGAATAGGCAGAAGAATAGACGGAGGAAGAGGAAGAAGGGTTAGGATGAGGAGAATGAGTATGGTTGTTGTTGTTGTTGTTATTGGTATTGTTGTTGTTTTGATTTTGATTGTTTCGACCGTGTTGATGACATCTGCGGTCTTGGCTTGCCTGCAGACGGCGCGGTGCCCAGCTTTTTTAGGCCACCTTTTCTAGGCCCATCCCCTCGTGGGGGCTGGCAGTGCCACCCCTGAATCGGGCTGCCCATGTGCCAGGTGGGCGCGACCGAATCCCACTATGGGGCCACGACTTTTATGCTTGTAGTGGAGAACGACCGCATATGCCGTGAGTCCGCGGTCTCCGTCGGCGATGGTGGGCGCGTCTCAGCGAAGGCGATGCGGAGACCCGTCCCGGCAGCATTTATCCAACGGCGTACCAGGCAGAGCCTCGTCTCGACGATGCCGGTGCAGTGTTTCATCCGACCATCCATCCAGCGGAGTCCGCAGTACATTGTGCACGCGGCACAAGCGCACAGCGCCCTCATCTGGTTTAGCCCGCCGGCCGAGGCGGTTGCCCGGGATGTGGCCGCTGAGCAGAGCCCAGCTACGTGGAGCCACAGGTGAGAGTTGAGTGCCAGCAAGTGGACGCTAGGCGTAGTCTCACCTGCAAACATGTGAGCGACCACCACGACCATCACTTGAACCCACCGCTGACACCCCTACACCCCGACCCTAATTACTGGATGGAACACAGGCTCTCAATTCCGCCTTGGAACTACAGTATAAAGTCCTCTCAAAAGAGTTCTGCAGCTTTTACTGGAGAACGACACTGGAACCGTTGTACGTGAATTGTTTGTGATCTCTGCCTTTTCTCTTTTAAATCCTGCTAGTTGAGCTTATATATCCCTTAGAAGCTCAGTTCTCAACTCTTTCCCAGGATCAAATTCCTGTCATGAGTTTTGCTCTTGCGGCTGCTGCGTTTACGTCATAAAAGTCAGAGTAGTCAAAGTTTCTTATGTAATACGGAGAGTGAGACACTAATACTTCGACTAACCATCGATTCCTTAAGAAATCTGACTGTCAGCAAGTAAAAAATTCTGGCCTGGGATGGTGTTCATTAAGAACCCTGTTACTGACATCATGGATTGTTTTAATGGCTACCTGTTTATTCTTCCATCTGAAGGATTGCAATTTTGTCGGCATTGGCGGTAGCAGGATTCATGGTAGTGTTTTGTTACGTCTAGCAACCAAAAAGGCTAGTCTTGAAGACCTAAGGGGGATTCAGCATTTCTAGTGGCGTTCACTTTCAATTTCTTGCTGCTGGGTTTATTGTATCTCTTACATTCACGAGATCTGAAACCATTGGTTATGTCAAATTACCTATTGCTTCAAATTTTATCCCTAGTCGGCTTACAGGTCACTGAAATATGACTGGAAGAATGGATGCTAAGGTCGATACGGCTCGGACTCAGTGCTTATATGTTTGCGATTAGAAATCAGCACGGCGTGCCAATAGCTGTGACTTGGAAGATCGCCAACTGACGAGGCACCCTGTTTCCACTGAGCACAGTGGGTCAGGCTGCAACGTTTCCTTCTTTATGTGACCTTTGTGGTAGTTTCCCTTACGTGAGATCCGATTAGCCACGTCAATGAGGCCTGGCGCATGTTTGGTTGGGGCCAGGTCTTATGCGACAAGCATAGACAGGCCGTTTAACTTTGCCAGACGCTACGCCGCGCCCACCTTCGGTCGTCTTGACTTCGTCTTGCTGTCGGAGCACGGTGGGTGTGGGGTACAAGGTGGTGTAGATTCCGCGCAAGTCTGCTTCACTACTAACGCGCTCACGCACAAGTCGCGACCGTGTCCACTTTGTGGGGTATTGGGTTGGTCCATTTACGACTTATTTGACTTTGACAGTAGGACATCAGGTTTGCTGCACGATGACCAAGGAGACAGAGTCTTATCTCTGGTCCATCCTGAATCTGGGTTGTGGCCGACTGTCGACTTCAAATGAGCAACAAGTGATCATTCAAATCTACCACGTCTTCATATTTATTTCCAATGCAGTATTGATTTCTTGTCGCCGTGATCGCTCCTGCGAGGCCTATCAGAC